GGTTTCTCTCTAATCTTTCGGATCCTCTCGTCTCTAGGATGATTAGAAAGCCTTGACCACCTCTCCTATTTATAACTCTTAGATTTTCCTATTCCCTTTGTGTTAACTATTTCATTAACCGACATATGAAGGAAATAGGAAACCATCTAACGTTTTCCTTTTTGTGCAGGAATTGCTTATTGGGCTGGAGGTGAGTTGGGCCCATATACTCACACTCTTCATCATCATCTTCATCAATCTCATCATCATCCATCTCAAGGTCATCTGGGTCAACAGCTTCCCCGGTGAACCATGACACCGCATGAGAGATGATTTTTTCTTTAATGATTGATCTACAAGATAAACATAGGACAGATTCAGATCCTAGAGCACAAATAAGAAGAAAAGTGAAGATAAAATAGAAAGAGTGCAGACCCAATATCATAGTCATGCTCCATTTGGCCTTGGAGTTCATCAGCATGTGCAAGATCATAAGGTTACCATTTAACGCATTCTTTACTACTGAATTCAAAATTAAAACTGCTCTTGTGGGTGGCCATACCATGTCATCATCAAGATCCTCCTCGTCATCAGGAACTTGAAGTGGACTGAAAAAGTTAAAGAAATTCTCACAGTCCTCAGTCTTAGTGATCGGCTTTGTGTTTTTGGATCCTTTTTTGGCTTCTTTTTAAGGATCTTCTGAGTCAAACATTTTCCAGGATACCACTCAATCTCCGTCCTGAACAATAGTCAAAGATCAATAAGACATCTTTTACCTTAAGAAACAAAAACATCAAATAAATGACAGAGAGCAAAAGATCATACCCAATGGCCTTCTCGAGGATAAGCTCATCTTCATCAATCATGTGATAAGTCTTGGTCAAGACAGTGTTCTTGAAGTAAGGATTCTCATCAAAGAAAAACTCAAGCTTGAACCCTTTTGGTTCTTCAACCCTATTCCACTTGATATCCTTAAGATACTTAAGAGCACCTTCATCTCGCTTAGTTATCTAGAATATGAGGATGAAAAAAACATCAAATATAAAGAGAATCACATTATCATTAAAACAAACCTCTTCAGCGGTGATATCATTGTTCTTCACTGCAATAAGCCAGAAATCAGGAACTCCTTTCTCTGCGGAGGGAGAAAAAAAACAGAGGTTCATATCAGTTGAATTATGATTTCACCATTATTGAAAGCTAAAAATATAACCAGAATTAAGTGTAAGTAGTTGATAACACACCTTCAACAACTTTGTCTTCTCCTTGTTCAGTTTTTATTTCTTCGGATGCACCTTCAACTTCAACCGCTCCGGTGACAATCTCAAACCACTGTTTTATGTGGTCAATACGAAAGCAGAAATCATTAACTTCAGTGATAATCATACGAGAATAGAAGTCTAATCAAACTTGAGTTATAATCATACGACAGAGAGAAATCTAATCAAACTTATTTTCAGTTGAGGTAGAGAATCAATGATCAATTAAGAAACCTTGGTATACAAAGGCTGATACAGTTTCTGATATTTAGCTTCTAGAGTTGCACTCTCCTCGAAAAACTTTGCTTCAATTTCATCATGTTGGTTCTGCAGTGCAAAATGAATTAAGGAATCAGATTCAGAGCCAACTAAAGTGATAAATGAAAAGACAAAAGGTCAGATAATGAGAGCTAAATGACTCGCCTGAATCTCTCTAAGAACCTCGACACGCTTCCTAAGAGCAGGACTCAAGTTCTCAAGCACATCTGTGTGTTGTCCAGCCAAATTCTGCAACTTGTTCTGTAACAAAACATAACAAAAATCAGAAAATCATCAAAGCAAAGTCCGATGCCCTAAATCAGCAGGAAAATAACATTCAAAGTAAAGATGCAGAGACAGTTCACTGCTAGAAATCATCTTAATCAAATCAATTACACAAGAGAAACAATCGCCAGAATAAAACTAACCTTAAGAGCAGTAACAAGGTCCGCTCGATCCTCCTCGTTAAGTGCTACCAAAAAAAGGAGAAACATTTTTGAACAAATCAGTATGAAAAGAAAAAGAATCAGCCGTTGTTCCATACAGAGAGAGAGAGAGGAAGTATTACCAGCGGTGAGAACAGACATGTTTATGTTGTTATCCTTGTCGCTGCTCATCTTCGGAAGCTAGAGAAGAGAAATTGGTGGAGGAAGAGGATAGAAGAAGAAATCTTTAAAGAATAAAATCCTAGTTTTTTTGGGGGCGACAGCCGAGCAACCCAAAAAAATAAAGTATTTGCATTTCATACACACACAAAACACCTTATTTAATTCTATACCCTATTTCTCTCTTCTTTTTCCTTCTCCCATCACTACTTTTTCTCCCTAAAATATGGCAAATCCCTAAATACCTTCTTCTTTTAGTATATTGAGCTAAATCACTCAAAAAAATAATTGAAATTGAAATTGAAAATGAGCTGACCGTAATAATTAATTGGTCTACACTTTTATAAAAAGGTGAACCCGGTAAATTGAACCAAACCGATTACAAACTATTCTCAAAGTAAACATACCGAACCGAACTGGCTCGAGAAGTGACAAAAGACCATAGGCAAAGCGACACGCAATGGTTTTCTTCTTCCTCCTCTTTTTGTCTTAAAACTCCCGTTTCGTTTCTTCTTGCTTAACCAAAACTCCATTCGAATCTTTCTCTCACCTACTCACTAACTTCTTCTAATTAAAGTCGATTCGCCTTAGCTTCTCTGTTCCTGAAAACCCTAGTTGCTCCTCTAGGGTTTTTGATTCATGGAGCCTCCTCTTATTGGGAATAAGTTCCGTCTTGGCCGCAAAATCGGTAGCGGCTCTTTCGGAGAGATTTACCTCGGTTCCTTCCTTCTTTCTCTCCCACTCTTCTCTCTATTCAATTAGTTATGTCGAATTCAGTTTTGCTGACTTGTTGTTGTTGTTGTGATTGCAGGAACTGATGTTCAGACCAACGAAGAGGTCGCTATTAAGCTTGTGAGTCTTTTCATACTCTTTGTTCAACTTCAAGACTCCAACTTTCTTCTTCTTTTTTTTTGGTTCAAAGTTTGATTTTTTTTTTATTTTAAATTGCAGGAAAGTGTGAAGACTGCGCATCCGCAACTGTCCTATGAGTCCAGGATATATAGGGTTGTTCAGGGTGGAAGTATGATTGATAACCCCTTTTCTTTTTCTTTTATTCCGATTCTTATTTTATAGTTTTTGTTCATTTGCTTGAGTGTAATGAATAATGGCAGCTGGGATTCCAAACATTAAGTGGTATGGTGTTGAGGGAGACTACAATGTCTTAGTCATGGATTTGCTTGGTCCTAGCCTTGAGGATCTCTTTGGCTATTGCAACCGCAAGTTTACTTTGAAGACTGTTCTCATGCTTGCTGATCAGATGGTAACTTAGACTTTTACGATTCTTGATTGTATTGTCAATTTTTTTTGATTATGCTGAGTTTCACCATCTTTTTGTGTCAGATAAATCGTCTCGAGTTCATCCATTCTAAATCCTATCTTCACCGTGATATTAAGCCTGATAATTTTCTCATGGGTTTGGGAAGACGGTCAAATCAGGTCATCTTTCTTCTTCATAAACTATTTGGGGGGGACTTTGACTTTGGGATTTCACTATTGTATTGACTTTCTTTCTGTTAGGTTTACATCATAGACTTTGGCTTGGCTAAGAAATATAGAGACAGCTCTACTCATCGACATATCCCATACAGGTAACACGTTTTTCATTATCAGAGAGTTTCAGTAATTTGGTTATTAGATTTAGTATTTTCTGAGAGTGAGTTTGTNGGGGGGACTTTGACTTTGGGATTTCACTATTGTATTGACTTTCTTTCTGTTAGGTTTACATCATAGACTTTGGCTTGGCTAAGAAATATAGAGACAGCTCTACTCATCGACATATCCCATACAGGTAACACGTTTTTCATTATCAGAGAGTTTCAGTAATTTGGTTATTAGATTTAGTATTTTCTGAGAGTGAGTTTGTTATTATTTAAGGGAGAATAAAAGTCTGATTGGGACTCCGAGGTATGCCAGCTTGAACACGCACCTAGGGATTGGTACACTTCATCTCTTAAATCTTATTCTCTCTCTTTCACGGGATAATTTGTCTTTTATTCTAATCCTCTATCCATTCTCTACTTGGTAGAGCAAAGTCGGAGGGATGATGTAGAATCACTTGGTTATATTCTCATGTACTTCCTCATGGGAAGGTGAGAGAGTCACCCCGTACGATCTTTTTTTCTAATATCATGTTTGTTTCTATCAATCCATTTCTTATCCTTTTTCTCTTGTAGTCTCCCATGGCAAGGACTAAAAGCTGGGAACAAGAAACAGAAATACGACAAGATTAGTGAAAAGAAGGTTTCCACTTCCATCGAAGTAAGTTCTTCACTTATGTCACACTCTCAAGTCTCAGAAAGTTATATGAGTCTATATGCTAAGGAATAATGATGAAGTATAGAAGGTCGATTATAGATAGGAATGTAACTTTGCGTCAGTGTGTTTTCAGACGTTATGCAGAGGTCATCCAACAGAATTTGCATCCTACTTTCATTACTGTCGCTCACTTAGGTTTGATGATAAGCCAGACTATGCTTACTTGAAGAGACTGTTCCGCAACCTTTTCATTCGTGAAGGTCATCCCTTTTTCTCCTCCCCACTTCCTCTGTTGAACTCATAAATAAGCTTCTACTGACACACCAACTATATTGTGTTTCTTGTTTTCTTCCCAGGTTTCCAGTTTGATTTTGTGTTTGATTGGACGGTTCTCAAGTATCAACAATCACAATCTGGAAACCCTTCACCTCGTGTCAGTGTACACTTTCGATATTTTTGATGTTTGATGGCGTTTATGATATGCAGATGATTAGTGACATATTATTTGATGCTTCTTTTTCAGGATGGTGGTGTTGGCACTAGCTCTGGATTCAACCCTGCAGGCGGCAATGTTGAGAAACGTCCAGGTATATGTTTGTTTATGCTGATCATCCTTCTCTTCTTTAAGCAAATGCAGGTACATAGTTTGTGTATATATACTCAGGGCATGTCTATATTCCATAGATTTCCCAAATCAAAGAACGAATTTGGATTCTATCCTGATGAAGCAGAAGACCAAGAACGTAAACGAATCTGCAATTGCAAAGGACAAGCTGGTTAGTTTTTGTTATATACTTGTTCTCTTCTCAGCTACATTTTTTTCAAACCGGGACAAATTGATTTCAGGCACCTGCATCGTTTCACTTGGGTCAATCAGAAGGATCATCATCAAGACGAGTTGTGGACTCAAGTAGTCGTGAACCATTCAGTGGTGGGAGTGACAATGCAAACTATGAATCTGCACTCAAAGGCGTTGATGGCTTGCGGATCAATAGCAATGCAAGGGATGAGACTCCACAATCAAATGGAGACGAACCTACTCCTGTAGAACCCAAAGCAAAGCTCTCAGATTGATTCGTAGACGAAGGTTTAAGTCATAACCGGTATTCACTTTTGTTGATTGCTTCACCCTTCTTTAGAGTTTGAAGAAGGTTGTCTATTATTCTTCCTAAGAAAGGCTTTAAAGTTAGAGATTTGATATAAGTGAGGGATAGAGATTTATTTATACAAAAGTGCTTAAATATATGGTTCATTTTTCTTCTCCATTGTATAGGGAAAAACCTACGTATTTAAAGTTCCTTCTCTCTGATAATTACTTCAAAAGTTAAAATCAACTTTTGGAAAGTGTTTTGGCTAAAAAGCCCTTAGGTCAGTTTTGCTATAAGACTGTACAATGAAGGTGTTAAAATTGAGTTTCAATTATAAACATTTTGGACGAAGGTGTTGAAACATTGTGTTTATCTGTTAAAGTGTAACTATTGAAAAAAAAATTTGTGTTCCAACAATTTACATGTTTTTATGTAATAATTTTTTTAAAAAATAATTTAAATTATATCAAAATTCAAAAAAAAAATTAATATTCCCTCTGTTTCATTATAAATGTTTAATTATAAGTGTCACTCTATAGCTGTGCACACGGATTAATAAAAAAATTAATTTTACATATTTCCTATATAAAAACATAATTACATATACACCTAACCACATTTTAACCAATAGAAAAACAAATTACATAACAAAATTAATAAATTTTGCATTGAAAACCGAAAACGACACTTATTTTGTAACGAAAAAAATCCATACAATGACACTTAATATGAAATGGAGGACGTATATAATTAGAGATTATTTTCATTTCATTTGAAAAACGTCATTTTTATATTAACTATTTTCGTGTTTTAATTTTTTTTTTCAGATGAATCCCAATAATAATTTTTTAAACACTCAAAATTCTTTAATATGTACTTGTTATGTTTTAAAAAGAAAAATAGGAATTAAAAATTGTGAGATATAGTGTTAAATTTTATAAAATAAAATCATTGTAGAGGTTTAAAAGGAAGTTGATGTTAAATAAATGAAGTGGAAGAAAGAGAGAAGATGATATGAAATGTAAAAGATGAAAATTAGAGTGTTAAAAATGAAGAGATGTTAAAACCATGGTACATGGTCGAACGGTTGATAAAATAGTTAACTACTGCTATTAAAATAGAGAAAATGACTAAAATAGACCTAAAATTTTTTTATCACAAATACAATCTTAACAATTAAAATGACTAAAATAACACTTAAATGTTTTATTAAATATACATTTATATCCATTGGCTTAACTAATTCTAGACTTTTTTGTTTAGAATTGAAGAGTGGAGTTTTAGAGATAGGGTTTCGAATTTAAAAAGATTTAAAAAACTTAAAAATTTCAAAATAAAAAGTGCTATTTTGGTCATTTTAATTTTTGAAGTCTATTTTGTGATAAAACTTAAAAGAGGGCTATTTGAGAGAATTGTCCATTAAATTATCATACTCAACAAAAATTTATGTTTAAAATGGTTTATCAACATAAATTAACTCTAGCAATTATTAATTACTTCACAATATTCATTTATCCTGCAATTAAAATGTTGAATGGCAAATAACCAAATTTCAATCTGCATTGAACTACATTTAGCCTGTACATTCAAAGCTTTAATTCTTCTTTTTCTCGGTATTTTTTGGTAACCGTCAAATATAATTACAAACATTTATTTATGAATGAAATTTCCTTTTCAGCATAACAAAATGCAATATCTCAGTCTACTTTACTTTATGGATTTGTTTTATTTTTTTTAGTCAAACACTTTATGGGGCTTGTTAAAGACGAGAACTAGAAGAAGATCCAGACAGTGACAGAGACGAAGAGAAACAAGAACTCAATAGGATTCGTGTCTCTCTAAAGTCTTTTTAACGCTACCAAAAGGATACAAAACTCTATCTCTCTATCCTTCTCCAATTGACCATTCTTTTCTGTGGTGTAAAGGACCCTTTTAGGACATGGATCCTTTGCGGTTCATCAGGTCATGGTAATAAAGAAGCACACACATAGGTTGTCCGAAAATGCAGAAGCTGAACCAGAAGATCATGTTTCCCACCTAATCATCACATTCCAAAACAGAGTTTTTCTTTAGTTTCAACAACAAATCAAGCATGTAATCGGCTGTGATCAGAAAACAGAGTTCTTTAGTCGAGTTAAGAGGAACATACCATGGAGCCAAACCTTTCTTGTAGATAGTTTGTGATAAAGACCAAAGGCACCTACGTTAAACAGATTGAGTGAAAATAAAGACATAAACTTCCAGATTGTTTGTGACACTCGACTATGAAAGCTTTGTTAATTTTTTTTACCTGAAACATAATTCCAATGAAAGCCCATAGATTAAAGAGACGGCAAGGAACCGCGATGCATAACTGCAAAGATGTGAACAAGAGAATGTAAGTAAGAACAATGCTTTTGAATATTATCGTGCTCTTGTGCCTAGAGACAGAGTAATGTAGAGGCTATATTTACCTCATGAAAGACTGCAGAGACTAAGAAAGCAATTATAATGGCGGGTACCTGGAATAAAAATGAGTGGGGGTTAAAGCTATGAAACACAGAAAACAATCTCGATCATCTCAAAACACTAATATATATATACACTCACTTTCGGTATCTTTACGCGCAGGCACGGAAAGTATACATGTCGAACCATCCATTTGTGAACAGGCTGTTAAAACAAAACAAAGAAGCACTCTATAAGCTCTCTTCTTCTGCTTCGTTTAGAAGAAAAAAAAGACTATGGTTTAGGAAGAGAACCATACCATATTCCACATTTTCCAGTACTGACAAAGGAACAATACATGAGATTTGGTTAGTCATGTGAACATCACGTTTTTTTAAGTAAGAAAAGGTTAATGACAACTCACATCTCCTACGCTTTTTGCATTCCACCAATCTTTGTAGAACTCACGGTCCCCAAAGCAGAGCAGCTCTGCCAATATGTTTAACCTGTGGACAAGAAAACAATGCAAAGAGATTTGTGATCAGAAACTGAAATTACATCTCAAACTGTGAGAAACCTAATAGCATCAATTTCTTCATGAGATATTCTCTTTTCTGTTGTTGTATCTTTGGAGATTATGTTGAAAGAGAAGGGATTGTGGCATACCAAAGGTGGAAGAAGCAGTAGAACATGCAGAGCCACACATATAGGTTTGGAACTGAAAGCTTCAACACTCTTTCAATAGCATATAGAAGATCCCCTTTCAAAGGATGCTTTGAGTTCCTAACAATAGGATTTATATACTGCCAAAGAAGTAACAAAAGTAGATGCAGTCAAGCGGTTGACAATACAGAAATGCTGATTTTAACAAGGAAAAAATAAACAAGAAAGATATTGAAAACNCATATAGGTTTGGAACTGAAAGCTTCAACACTCTTTCAATAGCATATAGAAGATCCCCTTTCAAAGGATGCTTTGAGTTCCTAACAATAGGATTTATATACTGCCAAAGAAGTAACAAAAGTAGATGCAGTCAAGCGGTTGACAATACAGAAATGCTGATTTTAACAAGGAAAAAATAAACAAGAAAGATATTGAAAACCGCACTTGCTCTATTATAAAACCCATGAGTCCAGTGAATATGACCAGTTTTGCAAATTGACGAGCCACCCAACCCTTCCGGATACATGGAGAACGAGGATAGCTAGGCTGGGAAAAGTAAAAACGCAAGGTTTAGACAAGAAACATGTACAAGTGTAAGAATGTTTGATGCTATTAGGAGAAGACGTATCTCATTACCTGATAACACAAAGTGGGAGCAACCATGAAATACGCCAAGCTCTTCAAGCTAACATAGTAGGAGACTTCAGGATCGACCTAAAGTTTATAACAGTGTCTGGTCAAAATAGTAATACAAAATGCAAGCGACAAAGATACATTACTTCTTTTACCTTATCAGCTGACCTGGCCACGGTTCTTAAGTCGTAGCTGGTATGAGCGTAAGAAACCAACTTCAGCCACACAATGCAAGTGAGTAGCATCAACGTGACACCTGACAAGAAGGCGGAATCACACCTGTTCGTTCCCAAGATCACCGATTTAGCCAACTAAACTTAAAAAAGAGTATCCCACTAGTAAAACCATAGCTCAATTCTGACCTTAGGGTGACGTAGACTGGATACAAGACCTCTGTCATGGTTATAATAACATGAAGAATGATTGAAACCTTCAAAAAGAAACTAAATTAAGTTATCCAAAATACAAATTTGTCCTTCAATAAAGGGTAGACAGTAATTTTTACTCACAGGTTCAGATATGCATTTCTGGAGCACCAATTTCTCAACGGTAAAGGCAGCCAACGGAAAGACTGAAAGGGATAGACTGCAACATAAAAAAACCAAACTTTTATAAGCATCTCTAAATTCATTAATTATGTATAAAGAAATGTTAATTTGGTGAAATAACAGAAGAAGAAGGAAGCAATAGTACCAACACATGAAAAGCGGCCAATCTCGCAGGGATGTAGAACTAAACCAGAAATCAGTTCTGATCAACCAACCATACTACAGAAACGACAGCAAACAACAAAGGTAAGGTCTTATAGTTGTTTCAAGCAAAGAGGAGAAAAGAATCAGTTACTAACCTTCATGAGATTTTCGATGATGAGTCTACTGTTAACAGCAACAAGAACAACAACACAGAGGTTGAACAATCCTGCATGGCTCTGCCAATGAGAAAACAAAAACAAAAAATCCACAATAAGATTCAATCCCTCAAATGCAAGTTAGAAGAAAGAAAGATAAACCTGTTTGAAGATAGCGTCAGAGCTGAGTGGACTCTCCCTCGTCCTCCGATGAGCTGGCACCGAAGGCCTATACGTGAACCTCCCATCTCCTCCTCCGGATTCCCTACTTTCGTTACCTCCGGCCAAATTCTCTCTTCCCTGAGCGGAATCAACCCGATCCCTCACGTCGGCCGGAGCTCCGACATCATCTGACGGGGAAGTATCGGGGACAGTTACGGAATCGGAAAGGTGACCGTTAGAAGAATCCGATCTCGGTTTACGTCGACGAAGCGTGTCGAGATCCGCAACACCGTTCTCTGTATGCATAGAGACGACGCCTCCTCCAGAATCCAAAATCGCCATTTTTGCAAACGAGTTTAGGTTTTAGGGAGGCGAAGAGCATGCAGAGGAAAACGGTGAAATGATTGCAGCAGTGGAGAATCAGAATCTAATGGAAAAGAACCAAAAGTGGATTTTTTTGAAAAGATTTTGTTGAGAAAATAGAAAATTGCTTATTAATCGGTTTATCGTGTGTCTCTTTCCTGCTAAGAGAATCAAAGTTCTTTTTTTTTTTTGTTGGTAAAGGAAAAGAAAATATTCACGAGAGAGAGAAGAAGAAGAAGATGACAACAATGGTGACAGGTATAGCGGTGCGGGGAGATATTTCTCTTATTTATAGGATTTTCTCCCTTTTCTTTTTTAAATAGATATTTTACTAAGTATTCATCGATTTTATTATTTTTCTTCTATAACCCTCTTGTGAGAAGAGAATATTCAAGACATTGCCACGTAATTCCCCCAAAATTAAAATACCACGATTTGCTAATTTGGATGTTATTCAATCTTTTTATTTTTCTTCTAGTTTTTGTTTAACCCTCTGGGAGAAGGGAAAAAAATTCATCACATTACCACGAAATTCCCCAAATTAATTTTAAAATATCAAGATTTGCTAATTTGGATGTTATTCAGTGATTTATTCTTTTTTCCAAACTTCAGTACAGTTATTTGTTTTGAAATAAACTCAATAGAATTATGTAATAACGTTACTCTATTGATTAAAAGTAATTTACATAATCATTGTACAATGAATTATATCGTTATGAATTATACTATTATTTTTTAGCAAAAGAAAACAGTATTATATTATGGCAATTTCTTGCCGGTTAAGAAAGAGTGAGGCATCTTTGCTTCCCTAAAATAATTTTGCCATTATTGTTTCCAAAACTCGACCGCGTTGGATATTTTCACCGGTTTTATAAAAATATATGGTGAGTGATTGGGTTTTGACCAATGATTTTAACTTTATTTTCTATCAACAATTATATTAATTATTAATTATACTTTAATTTGTTTTTAATGATTAAAAATGACTGTATGACTTTTATTTTCTAAAGTAAAAGAATATTATTGTAGGATGGCTAGAAATATATTTTTTTCATTTTTTATTTAATTTATACCGACTAAATTCTACCAAAAAACTTTTATAGTTACAATCAAACCAATCGTTTCCATTGAATCCCTATCTGCAATGTCTTTCCTATCTACCTACGTACAAGATAATTAGGTGGTATTATTATAAGAAAAAAGATAATTAGGCGGTAAGTTAAATATTTCCTATTAATAAAAAACGTCTGGCTTTCACAAAATCACGTGAAAGTTTACTGTTATGCAGAAGGAATATAAACAATTTGCTATTGAATAGTAGTATTGAAACAGCCGAACAATTAATAAGGTTTGGATCGAGAGACTGTTACTGTCAGTGAAAACAATGACATACAAAAACAATGACATGCATTGGTGGTGTGTTCAAATCTCTACCTTTGACCCCCTTCGCCGACCTTTTACATCTCTTTACGCATAAACTTGTAAAAGCATTGACATATTCTTCATAATACTACTCATTTTCGTATTTTCGTAATGCTGATGTTATTAACAAATCTCGGTCTCTTCTTAACAAAATTATTTTGGAGAAGATAAGATTAATTATTAATGTACTTAAATGCTGATGTGTTCTTCAATATTTGTTAAAGCATGGTCTGATCAGAAAAAAGTCATGTAGTCTATTATCTTTTACAACAAAATATATAATAGATATAGTAATAAAATGTAAACGATTATTTATTGTGTTTTTTTTGTCGGCGAGTACTTGTTGTTTAAGATTATTTAGTTTGATGGTCAACTTTGTCTTTTTAAAAAGTAACATTAGAAAGCAAATTATGAAAAGTTATTTAACAATATTTGATACTACTTCGTCAGTCATCTAAGAAAATAGAACTCCTTAATATTTAAAAAGTCAGAAGGAAGTTCGTTACCCATATACAAGATCACAAACCGATTCAAATAATTTGGTCTATAGTCAAACCGAATCAGACCAAAAACACAACTGCTCTATAACCAGTTAACCACCTGAGAACACGTGGGAAACCGGAATCTTAAACTCTTTTCCAGGGACAAGAACCTACGGAAAAAACGTTACTCCATTCGTTTCAATTTTGTTTATCATTTTGGATTTTTTACACATAATAAAATAACATTTATTTTTATATATTATATAGAAAAAACACAATTATCTATACATCTAATCACATTTCAACACATAAAAAATATAATAGTAAATAAAATTAATTAATTTTACATTGAAATTATAAAAAAACATTTACTTAAAATGCAAATTTTAATCTACAATGATAAAATGTTGTTCCATAGCTTAATCCATTGACACATCGATTGTTTAGGGTTGGTAGTCGTTGAAAGCAGGCATAACCGATAAGATACAGATAACTAGATAGATATGACAAAATCTTTACAGCAGTAAAAATATAGCGTATTGGAACAAAGGGGTGAAAGAAAGGGATCTGGAGCTTACTCCTGTTGGATGCAAGAAAATGGAAAAAAAAACTGAACTGGGAGTACATTGAAATTGAAAAAGCAAAGCTCCATTTAAGCCGAATCATCTTAGAAGCGGTTCTGCTCCTACACTCAAAATCTGATTGCGTGGTATTTGTTAGATTATGAGTTAAAAAACTTTTAAATTAAAAACAAAAATAATCAACCTTTACAAAAGAATTAAGACTGTTATTATCTGTGTTTCCAGTTTCATAAAATCAGTATATTTGTTTTGTTTTTTATTAATTTGAGCTGAGTTGATACTACAAAAAAATCAAAAACCCAATTAATCCTTGGTAAACAAATAACATCGGTTTTACAAAAATCTCCTTATATATTTAAAGAGAAGTTACTTTAGTGAATTCTTGACACGTGTCGCTCATACCGAACCTCTCAGGAAAATTCTTTTAATTTCATTGGTTGATTTTCTTTTTTTAACTTTTTTTTAAAATAGCCGAAAACCGCCTATATTTGGTGCCGTCTCTCTATCATCTCCTTCTCTCTTTGATTCTCTCGGATTCCATGGCTAAAAAAGTTTCTCGATCTTCCTCTTACCAAAACACACCTTACGCCGCTTCTGTTCGGTGCTCTCTCTCTCTCTCTCTCTCTCTCTCTCTCTCTCTCTCTCTATCATATCCTTCTCTCTGCAATTCTCTCGGAGTTCATTGAAGCTCCAAAAAGCCAATTCGTGTAATCAATCCGAATCTTCTGTCTCTCAGATTTCGATACGTTGTGAATCTTCTCCGATCCGATTCGATTCTTTGTCGCAGCTCTGAGAATCCTAGGCTTCGTTGATTCGATTGGATTTTTCATTCCCGTAGAATCGAGAAGATACCTGATAGTTTTTTTGTACTTTTGATCAGTCTTGGTAATTCAAAATCGGATTGTTGACGAACTAAGATTTGGATCGTCACTGTTCGCTAATCTAGGTGAGTATATATATATTTGTTGTTGTTTTAGAGTACTTGAGCCTTGGTACTGTTTTGTAGGGAGTGTGGTTGTTCAGACCAATATGATAGTGTAGTTTTCTACTGTTTGTCTAGAGACTTGAGTACATGATCTTTGGTATAATTTAAAGTGTTTCTAAAAATGTTATGGAATTTGTTACAGGAGAAGCTTGGTTATTCAGATGATGAAGCTTTTGTTAGAGCCCTCCAGGAAGTTGAGGCAAGGGTAATGGCTGATAAGTTGTCTGCTTTGACTGGGTTAGTAAATCGTGTATACACATATTTATATATCACTCTCAAGTTCTCTTTGACGGGAATTGGTTTGGGATTATGCTAAAATTAATGTTTTTGTTGTAGGGCTTGAAGTTCTAGAAGATTATGATAATACTTCTGAGGTACGCTCTTTACACTCACTGCTACACAACCCTTTTTAATTTTGAGCTATAAACTTTTTGTATGGTTGAGAATATGAACGTTTTTGCCTCAGTATGTGAAAAAAATAAGTGAATCAACCTTATTGTGTGCCATGTAATCATTTGATTGTCTTACTCTATGAGATTGTTTGGTGCTAGGTCGTATCTAATTATTTGCACAATTGTATGTTTGGAGGCCAAAATGCATTAACCAGTGTGGTAGTCAAATCAATTGTATTATGGTAGCGTTAAGGTCATTGTTATTGGAGAAAATTATGCTCCACCTGCGGCATAGGACTTCCCTGTGGACTGAAGTTACATAGAGTCTTGTCCATTTCGTGGAGAATCATACAAAGTATTTATACTTTTAGGCGACTTTATTCTGCTTCCACTCACGTTATGTATACTTTATTTTTGCAAGATGCCTGGGATGTAATGGATCCTGATGAGCTTTGATGCGAGGTATGAAAAAAGGGAAAATTGCCAAATATGACTCAAAACTTGATTTGAAATGCAAAAGTAAACCCAAACTTGAATCAAATGCAAAAGTAACTTAAAAGGCTGTTGAAATTACAACCAACCCCTTGTGAACAAACAAAAAAAGAGTCTTTTTTTTTTTTTACGTTTCTAGCCCTCGCAAGTCGTCTGGGACAGTTTTTCTTAAAAATAATTTAAAAATTGTGTAATAAATATCTTGATAAATGAAAAATTGGGATTTTGTAATTAACATATGTCTTAAGCGATATAAATTAAGATATAAAAAAAGTCAGTTGTTTTCAGCATAGATGAGTGAAAGTAGTGAGTGATGATATTCTTTAGTTTAGGTTTCACCAACATATGTTGTAGTATTGTATGTGTTTCTTAGGGCTAGAAATTCGAAAGCATAAATGTTTTTTTGAAAACTTTAAAATTTACCTAAGTGTGTTTATTTCTGTGTATAGTAAACAATATTTAAGTATAATTTGATTTTATAACATGGTTAGTAGTTAATTTAGTCAATTTAGTTTATGGTTTAGGGTTTAGGGTCTGGACGACTTATAATTAAGTCGTCTGGTAAATATATTTAATAAGGCAGACGACTTAGTCGGATGTATAGTATCAACAGACGACTTAATAATAAGTCGTCCAAACCGGATTTTACCAAATTACTTTTAAACCTAACCGGATTTTTTACCGGACATATATAAGAAGATTTTTTTTTTTACGCACTTTTCGCGAAATTCAGAAAACCCTAACGCCGTTTCTCTCAAAGGTGATTTCGAGGCGATTTCGATCCGATACAATACCAAGGTAAATCGAAGGCTTCTCTTGCAGATTTATGGGTTTTTATTAGGATGGCTGTTGTTTTCCTTAACTTTTACCGTTTGGTTTTGTGTTTT